GCGAGTGCCTCAACTACAGACATGGTGCTGCTTCGCAAAGCAAAAGAGCTTCACAGTGTCATCTGACAGAGTGGCGGTGCAGAGGTAGCCCATTTCCTCTCAGTTTTAGGTTAACATATTTAGTTTTTTTAAAAATCGATACCAGGAACTTATAGATCGATATTATGTAAGGCAGCCGAAAATCGCGATATATCACTAAAACACCCCTAATTTTAGGTCACCATATTGCTGTGATAGCACGTCACTGATGTCAATACCTTATAAGCACAAACACTGCTTTTCAAAATCCTTAGGATAACATTTATGGTGCATGTTTTTTCTACAACTAATCTACAAAAAGTAACTTTCGTTATATTTTGAAATTTACTAATAATCCTTGATTGGTGGTGTAAGTAGTAAAAATAAAGATCCACACAATACAGATTGTTTTAGGGCTTTCAAATTTCCTTATTTAAAATTTTTCATTGTTAAAATAAGTTTGATTTGTTATTCTGATGAAAATCTTTTTACAATAATGTTAAGAGATATAATAAATGCTCAACAATATTTGAATTCATACAAATACAAACACATTTTGGGGGTTTTTGTTGAGTTTTTGCGGCACTAGTGGTTCTTCTTTTCGACAGGAAAGGGGGCATGAGAAAGGTCAGATTCGAACCCAGGTCGGCTGCCATGACGACTAGAGCCTCCATACATGGGTTGCGCGCACTAACCGCTGTGCAACCTGCACGCCCGAACACAAGCAAATATAATAAAGTATTATTAAAAGCAGTTTAGCTGTTGTTGGACTGGACCCCACCCAGTATGGTTGGTTTTGGTGTCATTAGCCCAGTAAATGAGTTCTAACCAGTACTTACTCCTTCTTCACTCTTGTTTCAGTTTAAAATGATTCATTATCTCTCTTTGAGAAGCTCCTATTTGTAATAAATACCTTTCTCTTTAAAATCATACATATAAACTTTAGGCTCATACCTTAACAATCAATACGTATGATAAAACTGAGTTATAGCTGCACAAGTTTTCTAATTGCAATGTTTGGAAGCCTGCTGCTGTCTCTGCTGTAGGTTTGCATGAACAGCACAGACAAGGACAGGAACTAACCTGCTATTTAATGCATTCAGACGTGTCTAAGTCTTCTCTCCACGGTATAGGGAGGTAAGGACAAAACAAAAGCTCAGATAAGACGGTGAACTTTCTCTCAGCTGTCGAATAGATTTTGCTTTAGGAAAGGATGCAAGTACAGAGTCTTATCAGGCAATTGTATACTATAACCTGTGGAGCTTTTTGAGAACTAGAGGAGGCAAATTTATGGACGACATCTTTGACTTTATTGAGAATTTGGTCAAATTAATACAGTTTCAGCGGGTAAAGTGAAAAGGAGAAAGGTAAACAGGTCGAAAAGCTAAGCAACCTGTCAATTTTATTTGTGTAGAACAAACAGCAAATATTGACCAAGTGCTTTACAGCATGATAATGTAATAAACACGCTAGTACATGACTGACTTTCCCTGATCAATGTTAACTCGTTTGAAAAAACGAACTGGTTCATGTGTGGGTTCCAGCTTCACCAGGTCAACTCTGAGCGAGAATTGTTTTGGTTTTAGTTTACTTCTTGCTCCAGCTAAGCTTCCACAACACACCACTATGAAGGTGACAAATTCATCAGTGATATGACAGTGGGAGGAGTGAGTTGGAGGTGTGGGGCGAGGCGGGCTTCTATAAGCCCGTTATAAACGAGGAGCAGCGGACTGCTAGATAGCACTTTGCATTCATATATGAATATTTATCCCAGAGGCTGGCATTGGAACGGATGAGCTCGCATGGGAGAAAGAACAAGCCATCTATCTCACTCTTTCCCAATTTCTAAGCCTCATTCTTTACTTTCATACATCTCCTTCACTTGCAATCACCATTTCAATGACTCTCTTTTCTCTTTTGCATTTTCCACCCACATTTTCCCTCTAGGCTTCCCCTATTTTTCTTGATATCATCCGATCTATTGCTCCTCTCCTTAAAAAAAAGAAGAAGCCACCCCCTCCAATCTCTTCTCTTCACAGCGCTGATGCATGGAGAGAGATGGAGCAGGAAAAAAAAAAGGAAAACGCGTGTGATTAATGTTGTTGAGAAAAAAGATAAATAATCACACGAGACTGGGGGCTGGTAGTTGGCCTTAGGGGAGTAAATATGGAGAGTTTTATAGCTGCTCACTTGGGAGCAAAGGGAGGCAGAGGAGGAGGAGACTGGAGAGGAATACGGCGACAGCAGATCCATTCAAGTATATTAGCCACCCCCCACCACCCACCCCACATACACAATAACCTCTTCGTCTATTCTATAGCGCAACTGTCTTTCATCATCAGTGCTGAGCCCCATCCCAGTGACAGCACAAACACACACAAGGTGCCACACAAAGCCATGGATGCAAGAACGCCTTCAACACACCCTCACAACCAGCCCCATGCTTCTTTCACAGGCCAGACCCACTGTATGTGTTTGATGGGGCCGATACATGCGGCGTGTGATGTGGCTGACATCCACCTTACCCACCCCACCCCTTCCACCCACCTACCCCTCCAGTCCCCACCCTCCCAAACTCATCCTGCTTTTAAGCCCTCATACTCCGGTGGCTGCTTGTCCCCTGGAGTAGATTGCATCTTTTATTTATCATTGGCTCTTCCTCTGCTTTATCTTTTCCCAGCTGGTGAAAAAAAATAGTAAATTCTGGGGCAAAAATTGCAATCAGCATAACATGCCCTCCTCCCTGCTGTGTTCTCGCCTGTCACTCTCCGCTCCCTGTGAGCATGCGGGATGGGACTGACAGCCCGTACAGAGGAAGACAAGCACACATGTGTGCACAGCCTCGCTGTTTCCCCCCTACACACAGTCCTAGAAAGTGAGGAGTGACACCAATAGCCCCCCCAAACAGAGATGCACCGATCAGGCTACATACCGATACCGATTATCTCTGGGGTTTGAACTGCTTTTTCTGCATGTTTAATAATAAAAGGAGGAAAGATTTGGTATTCTCACAATGTCTGTAGTGGAAAAGTATAGATTTACAATTAACTAATTAAAGCATACATCTTTAACCTAACTTAAAAAAAAGTAGATCAAAGTGAATGCAAATATTTGATGGGTTTATAAACCCATCTGGAGTTCAAATGGGTTTTTAAAAGAAGGGATAAAAAGTCAGAAGAGGTCTGTCAATTACTAATTGAAAGACGTTTTTAAAAAAAAAACTCTGATATCTGAATGATCCACTTGAGTGTCTAATGCTTTTTCCTCTTGACTGGAGTATCTGACTGGCTTTAGACTAAAAAAATTAAAAGATAGCAGAATGTAAACATATATATTATTGCCCAGGAGCATCGCCTTCGGAAACCTCTTTGAGTTGCAATAATAAATGATTAATTAGCTATTACCACCATCGTGTTTCTTCCTACTCAAATTTATAGCACTAAACAAATCACTCGGTTTTCTCTGAATGATCTATTCAAATTTCAGCCTATTCCATCGTCCCTAAATCTGAATACTGCAATACATGGAACAGCATAGAGGTGGTAGTTTAGTCTACAGGAAAAGGAAGGAAGTAGGGTTGTTTTTTGTTTATACATCTGCAGTTAGACTTTATTGGGGTTTTACTTAACAAATGAATGGGGCATTAAAATACACATTGGTAGCTGATGCATTTAAAGAGCAAAATATGTATATTTAATACAAACCAAAAATCTTTTTATCCTTTCAATCAGGAAAAAAAAAAGTCTGCTTCCAATCTCTGGATGACTGATTGGTGGATCACAACTGCAAGTGACCTCCTTACCCTCTTTCTGACTACTTATCCAAAACACACACTTATCTACTTAGTGACGCCTCATACTTTTTATTTTACTCTGGGCCGAGTGTTTAGCTTCCTCAAGCCCAAATAAAGAGTGAGCACATAAATGAGCCTAATGCTGGGGAATCTGGTAAACAGGCTAGAGAGAAAGAGAGAGAGAGGGGTGAGAGGAGGGAGGGCTGCCTGTCTGTCTGCTCCATGGCTACTATTGTGCACTGCACATTCTCTGAGCCCACAAGAGCTGAAGCCATCTCCACAGATTCTTTAGGGGGAGATAGGAAGCCAAGAAGTGAGATAGAGAAGGGGTGGGGGACAGAGGGATGGAGATGGTAAGGGAGGCAGGGAGAGAGGAAGATCATGCATAAAATCTTGTTTACAGAATGCATTAAGATTCAGATGAACTGGGGAGGGTAATGGGATTAGAATCCTGAACTGCTTCCAAGGGTGGGGAGTCAGATTGACAGCTGAGTCTATTGCACTGACGAATGTAGTGAAATATTCGGGCTCTGGCAAAGACAAGCCAGGCAGAGGAAATCAGAGGGGGGTTTACTGAGCCTGGAGCACCTATGTTTACACCCGACTCTACCACAAATAATGCAGCTGAAAGACAAAAAAACAAAACATGTTGTCTGTTTAGGTGCACACACCTTAGGCTTCAGATAAAAAGATTAATAAATAAAAGGTTTCAGTGTCTCATAAAGGTGTTTGTCAAACAAAATAGAAGCACTGTGGCTTTAAATCGCCGTCCCTCCCCAGTCTTTCTAAATATCTGTCTATTTAGCCAGCGGTGAAAAGATATAGGGGGCTTTTGTCTCCATCCCCATTGGTGGGGGCATGGAGAGCTGGAAAGACACAAAAATAGGAACAAAGTCCTGAGCTTCCAATTGGAATAGCTCGGGGGGCCATTCAATGCGCACAGCTCAGTGGTTAAAAACAAGAAGAAGTGGGCTAAAATTACGGGCTTATCTGGAAAATAAAGGTCTATTCTCGCACAGCTATAGGGGAGATTGCTGTGGAAATACCCTGCATTGTTTGGAATAGGCACCGCTGTAGAAAAGAAACACAATCCCTGTGTAGGTTCACGGGAAAACGCAAACAGGGAGACGCGTTTTGGTCATTTACAAGCAGCTCTCGGTGCGTTATTGTGACGCTTTGGTCCACTCACCGACTTGCAATACGTTGTCCACCCAGCCGCCCTCCAGCAGAGTGACACCCCGCAGAAAAGGCAGCTGGGTCTCGTCATTATTGTCCCCGCTAGATCCACTTTCCTCTCCTCCGGCGTTGAAAGAAGAGTACATACAGATCTCCTTCTCACTCCTCGGGAATGACCAGTAAACGATCCTGCGCTGGACAGGCTCCGGGATCCGCTCGAAGCGCTCCTCCACCCGCTGGAACGGCCACTTTTCCGCCACTCTCCGCGCCGCGATATCGAGCAGCGACTCGGGGTTGTGCGTTTTCCCGTTCCCGGACGCTCCCGGAGCGGAGCCGCACGGGACTCCTCCAGCCCGCTGCCCCTGCCTGCATACCGGGTTGTATCCGGGCCGGCAGCAGAGCCGCTTGGCTGGGGGCTGCTGGACTCGCTCGGCCATGATCGCACCGCTTCCAACCTGAAGCGCAGTTCCTCTCCGATCATATAAACGGGATAAGGAAGAGAAAAGGGCAAATCTCGAACCGATTGTTTGCCGTACATGGAGAGGCAGCCCTTATTTGGTGAGGGGGGCGGAGCCTGTGAGTTCCGTGAAGTCTTTGTGTTGTCAGAGTAACGAGGATGGGCGGGGCTCTGGAAGACAGCCAGCGCACGAGTGGCGCTATAAAAGGAACTGGAGGCGGAATTCCCGAACGTCGGCAAATCCTTTGTGAAGTCGTCCGGGAGCGCGAGGGCGGAGCCCCGGCGGCCGACGGCCTTTGAAGTTTCCTTCTTATTTGAGTTTAAAGGCGGGGACTTAATCCAGGGGCGGCCTCGCAGTTTCCCACAGGGCTAAAAGGGGCCAAAAAAACTGACTTTCTCCCCCCCTTTTTTTGGAGTATAAGCCACCACCCCAGGCTCTAGTTTCTTCAATAAGTGCGCTGATGGCTGATTTTGTGGCTTAGGTTTTAAAGTACTTTCAGCTGTCAGAGGCAGGAAAGCAGTGGGAGGAGGAACAAGAGGGCCAACATGAAGATATGAATCGGGACATGCTTGTCCACTTTGGTCACATCAGTCACATATAGGTCAGCTGTTTGGTTCACTGCTACATATATTTGAAATAAACGTATCAAACATGGCCCTACCCACACTTTATGCATTTTTGTTATTATTTCAAAGTAGATAGGGCCACATTTAGTGACTCAAAAATAGATCCATGCCTATCACTATTTATTAAATGTAGTAAACAGTTTCAAAAAAAGATTTTCACACATCCTGTTCGTATTGCTAAGACCAGACTACTTTATTTCTGGTCTAAATAATTTGCAAACATGACACCTTTCTTTTTATAAGATAAACCTGCAGAACCATTTTTTAGCTTTGCATCTACAATAATTTCCACATCCTAAACTACATTACTTATATATTCCCTAAATCTTTTTTGCAAATTTTGTTTTGTTGTTGAAATATTAAGTACCCTGTGAGAAAAAATTGTTTTGGGATGAGGTCTCAATGTCTTTTTTTTCTGCAAATGTTAGATTTTATAGTTATGAAGATATTTCTCAACTAGTACAAGGGTAATGACACCCCTTGAACAGTTTTATATTTGATCACATTACAGCCTCTATCTTTTCTGTATTTAATTTGTGTCTTATTCTGTAAACAAGCACACAGTAGTGTATGAATTTGAATCTAGAAAAAAAGGTGTTTAACTGTTTCAAACAAAACTGTGGTGTGCATTTCTATTTATCCATCTATTATACAACATCCCTTAATAAAATCCAGTTCAACAATTAGTTTTGACAACTTGTTAAAAAGAGTCACCCTGTGTGTTTAACTTTAGGAAAACTGTATAACGAAGACAGAGGAACAGGCCAAGGATAATAAGGATATAAAACAATATCCTAAAATTTAAGCATATCATTAAACATAATTGAAAATGAAAAGAGTATTACAAACTTACAAAGATGTAGCCATTCGACCTCTCTGACTAGAAGTGCAGTGGAAGTATTATTGGCTGATATTGACTGTATAAGGTCACGTGCTGCATTGTGCTGATATAATAGCTATTAGTTTTTTTTCTGCACAAATCTGGTAATAATGTAAGAGTAAAAAAAGGAAAAGATGTTTTGAGTGAAACCACAAGAAGTCCTGCTGAAAGTTTGCCACAATGGAAGAGAAAACAGAAAAACCTCTGGCTTGATGTCTTATTCATAATGCAAAGTGTCGAATCTTATGACTACTTACCCATACATCAAATTTAGGAGTCTAAACATGATTAATTGAGTTAAATTATATAATACTGTTGAAAGTGTAAATGGAACCTTACTTTAGTTTGAGTAACACACTTATCAGGAGTCAGGGAGGGGCTGAATTGCTCACCTTTTGGATTGTGCTGTGTGGTTAGACATGTGAAGCTAAAAGGAATGCAGCTGGGGGAAAAAAAATAACCACCTTGGGGATGTTTTTCTAAATTGTCCATAAACTTGGCCAAAACTATGCTGGTAAACCAGGATGTGTGCTTGCAATGGGTCTGTCCGCTGCATGTGTTCCCAGCTGCCCCTCTCCTTCCTCTGTGAGCAAGTCTAAAAAGGCTGGCCTTTGAACTACTCTGAAAGTGATCCATGCTGTATGGACGGAGCAGATGTGGCCTAACCTGATTTGGTTTCAATACTTCCCCACAGGAAGTTCACAAAGCCAGCAGGTCCTCCTTTGTTATGTTAGTCATTTTTCTCGGAGGGCCACTGGAGCCTTATGCCCCCCCCCCCCCCTTACAGTTGTTGCTGTATCATTTGCTTTCCCCCCTTCATCAGAGCTGTTTTGCAGATTATTCAATATTTCAGCAGCAGCTGTCATATTGTTCAGTTTCTTCCAGGAATATGAAATTTGATTTCCCCCCCCCCCCCCCCCCCCCCCCTCAACTTTTCCATTACAGATGTCTCTTATCTCTACTACATCCAGATTATTTGCAGCTCTTTGTCACAGGTATGCCCATTTTAAGCAAACAGATTGGCTTATTCAAAGACACTTTTAACTTAACACAATATTTACATTTTCTTTTACCATATAAATAGATAAATAATCATTTTACAATTTTTTACAGTTAAAAATAACATGAAATGGGTTCCTTTTAAACCTTAAATTACTTAACGTTTTGTTTCAAGATAGTAGAGCTATCGGTGTTACAGAGAGCGTTAACGAAAGGTTGGAATCTCTTAGGAAATTTTAATTTGGATTATTTTACTAGATTTAATGTTGAGCATTTGCTTTTAAAAGCTTATGGACTACATTACCCATCAAGAAAGATACGTCATATCCGATCACGAGCGGAAATCTCTGCTGCATTCACCGTCTCTGGAATAGTGTGACACGGATTCTTTGAAGTAGGAAGAATTCACTAACTTATGAATGCGACGCAACATCTCTGTAAAAGAAAAAATAATATTAATTTATACATGTTAGAAAGTATAAGCAGCATAAATGTAAGGGTATTATAATGAGCAGAATACAACATAACTAAATGAATAAAAACAGGTAACTCCTTTTTACGGGTTTTGGATATATTACTTGAATGCCTCACGAGTAGAAACGGTTTCAGTGAAACAGGGAGGAGCCGCTGGTTGTAAGCGCAAATGTAAATACATAATTCTGGACTTTGGTGAGTTTATTTTATATTTGAATCGGGGTTTAGGCCATTATTATTATAATATCAATCTATTTTTTACCACGATAAAACCATTCTCTGCCGGTAGGCAATGGTTTTGTTATTGAAAATTAGGGCCTTTCAGAGATAGGCCTTGTTAGCCTCGATAGTAGTAGTGATGCAAACGTTAAAACACATTAAAAAACAAAAATTGGATTAATTTGTTCTGACAGAAATCAATCTGCTCGATTATTAGGGGTGACTTGGTTCACGGTAATTTTAATTTAAGCCGTTGTGTGGGCTAGGCTAATGACTGCTTGCTTCCCTGTGCTGTTAGCATCTGCAGTTTTCTGCTCATTAGCCGGAAGCTTATTAAAAAATGAAGTGATTCTTTTTTTGGTTCAGGAAACTTAAGACCACTGTTTCACTGTGCGAAGAATGTACAAGAGTAGTTTTCATAAAATAACATTTTATCTATGCTTTGTTCTGACTATTCCCCCCAACAGGCTGTACTTTAAACCCAATAAATGTAAAATACAGTTGGGTTAGCTTTGTTTTATTATACATACCGTGGTTAGCACATAACATTATGTTTCCTTTAACTACCCTGTGCTAGAGATGAACAATATAAACCTCAATCATTATTACATCCATTTATAGTGGGTATTATAACGATTTTAATGAGTAATATAACTTAAAGAGATTTTAGGGATCAATTTAGCACTTAAAGCAGTCTAGATCAAATAAATCAGGAATTGCTGAATTCCTCCTCAGACAACATCTTATCTATAACAGTAAATGAGTAGTATTGTTGCAATAAAACACACTTTGATCGTTTGAATTAAATTTCTAGCTCTATATAAAATATGAATTCTTTTTTAAGAGGATTGATATAACTTTTGCTAAGTTATAGTACTATATAAAACTTTTAATGAATCACACCAGATGTGAATACACTAGTACTATCGTTTGCGTATTGCTTTTTTTTTATTGTTTAATTTTTTTTTTTTATTACATGGTGAATAACTTAATATTATAGTGATGTTTTTAAGCTTCAGTTCTTATCCTCCTATCTGAGGGTGAGTTGGGATGTTTCTCTAAATACTGTTCATAAATCTTTTTTAACCCTGTTCAGAAACATAGGGACAGAGCCATGGTGCCCTATGTCTTAGAATCTAAGAAATATGTTTCTGTTACTGTGGAATAAACACACAATTAGTATTTATTTTTGTCAAACTTGATAATCCTCCCCCCCCAACTTTTATTGTCATTACACTGTCGCAAGTACAGAGCAACGAAATGAACTCTCTGATTTAACCCATCCCCTTGGGGAGCAGTGGGCTGCCATTGTGTGGCGTTCAGGGAGCAGTATGGAGTTAAGGGTGTTGCTCAGACACCCACAGAGTGAGGCTCGAACTTAGAACCTCAGGATTCTAAGCTAATCCCAAAGTTGATAAGCCTGTAGTGATGGTTTTCTTTTAAGCAATCAGATTTATTTTTTTTATTAAAATGACTGGCTGGCCAGTTTGATTATACATATAATTTAGAATTACAACAATAATTCTTTTAATCTTTGGACATTTTCCTTTTTGAAGGCAATTTATTGAATATTAATTTGTATAAATCAGTAACACTTTCAACTTAATTCCTTGGTGTAACAAAAGGTTTGAGCAAACAGTCCAAACCAGTCCCACTTTATGCAAAGGAGACAGCAGTGGATCAAAGTTCTGTACAAATTTATAATCAGAATAACTGAATGCAGATAATGTATTTTTTTTTTTTTTGTTGCTAATGCTGTTTATATTTATACATATTCTGTTAATCACAGAATGACATCTCTTGTCAACCTGTGTGTGAACTACTATTCTTAAGGCTACCATGTTTATTTTCACTCAAAATGCAGCAATTAGAAAAAAGTTTGC